CCGCCCGAACGAGCACACTACACTACACCAAAATAAGCACGGTAACAATTGTAACAGCGAAGGTGTGATTGGAGGATATAGGGAATGTGAATAGGCCAGGGCAGAAGGGGAGATAGCACAACTGTTTAGCACACGTTTGGTCAAAGGATGGGCTACGAATGGCGAGACTCACTGACAATGCCGGCGAAACGTCTGTGAATGTACCACGTTCATAGTCCTACTCTGGAAATGACGATGCATACAATGGACTCCGGACAAGGTGCTTTCCTCCAAGTCTTCCTACCAACATGACCAAGTTGTGAAAACAAGGTCAAACAACTTGTATAAAACGAAATGAGACTGCGACCACACTAAAGGCCACACCATCTTGATCTTCATACCTACAATACTTATTTTTCGTATATAAGCAGACTTTCGAGGCTCATATAACGGATTTTACTGGCTTATATACTGAAAATACTTCATGCTCAGCCTACATGTTTGCAGATGGGTAAGATAGATTAATGAAAAGAAAATGAATGCAATATTGACTCATATCTAGGCTTTCGGTTTTGTGTCCTGTGTGAGGTGTGATAACCCCATTCCGGCCTCCTCCTCTTCTCCAACCCTTCTACGTGCTGCCTCCCCTCAAGCCCATCCAACAGGCACACAGAGCCCATGCAAATGGGCCACACTCGTTGCTATCCACTTGCGGTTGGAAGGTTGAAATGCTGTTCAACCAGCACATCGTGCCACACACACATGCCCAGCTCACCGGTGTTCGGCTCCATGAGGATGCGAGAAGTGATGATCTTGCCGCACTGCCCGAACAGACGCTCCAATTCCTTTTGCCCAACCGTTTTGGGCAGACCGCATATGTACAGGTTGGCACCTTTAATCGACTCGCAACTGGGCCGGGCCAGCGAGACCTGAAAAGGCGAGAGAAAGAGACAGATAATTGGTACCATGAAAGAGTGGGTCAAGCAAACAACAGAAGGGCAAGTCAAAACAAAGGATTCACGGCAGGGCTTCACGAAGATGCTCGCGCTTTTCAGCGAGCTTGGAGAAAATAAACAGCAGAGCGAGGATGGCTTTAGAAAAGGGCACACAAAATAAAACAAATGCACAAGAAAAGAAATTGAATGCAGTTGATCTTCACGAAAAGCATGGTTTCCGCAAAAACTCCTCCCCAAGCCAAGGCAGCAAGAGATGAAGTTGTCCAGTCCATGGCTTCTCGCCAGCTCGACAAAGTTAAAAACAGCATGTCTTCCTAAAACACACCATCAAACTTGTTTCATACAGGCTCGGCTGTTGTGTTTTTGGCCGAGCTGGCCGTCCACTTCTACTGCCCGCCCTTTTCGTCCGGTTCTCCCCATGTTCGGCCAGAGTGTGCATGACAGACTTTCTTTTGTAGATGGGAAGAGAGCAACGAAGAAATTCACCATGTGCCAGGTGAACTCGATGTCTGCGAGATGCGAATGTCCCCATGGAACAATACAACGCAATCTGGTCGTGGGTCCCGAGTTGCCGTTGCCAGGTTGCAGAGGCGCCCATGACAACAAGAATAGACGACAAGTGCCGCTAGCAACCGGCACAAGAGACACC